TAAGAAGAGAGGAGGCAGGCTTCGGACAGGCCACAGAGAGGCCGCAACAGGCCGGCCAGCTGGTGAGGCCTCGGACAGGCCTTTGGAAGTGCTTGGAAGGGTTCTGCTAGGCTTGGCCAACTGCTGCATCCTGCGCCTTTGGAAGTGCTTGAAGGGTTCTGCTAGGCTTGGCCAACTGCTTCACCCTGCGGTGTCCCAGGCGCCTCCCCGCCTAGGCTTTGGCTATAGGCCGGGGTCGGCGGATATACAGATTTTGTATGATGAATAAATGTATACAACCAAACCACAGTACTTCTCAATCTGGTGAGTTTCATCGATTTCTACGCGAACTCAGTACGAACCCGCCTTCAGGCCACTCCCAGGTGAGGACCAAAATAAGTCAAGGTCTGGGAAGGTCAAACCCTACACGGTGACTGGTGAACGTTTGAGGCATTGTTTCACCTTTTTGTTGTTACGTTGGCCACTCACAAAGAGCAGATGGGAAAAGCGCGGGCCAAGCTTAAAGTTTGATTCCTTAAGGGAATCGGAAGGAGTGAGTAGGACTCAGCTATTTGAGATCTATGGGTCCCACCCCACGTAGGCCAAGCCAGGTATATGCTATGATATGCTCTCAAACAGAAATAGGGCAACTGCTACCAATGTTGTTGAAGAACTCCACTCATAATATGGAGATGAGTGGAGTTTTGACATAGACAAATATATCATCATCATCATCATCATCGAGGTTGTTCACAGGGGTTCTAGCTCTCGCTACAACATATTTTTGCTTTAGTCATGAGTTGAGAGTATAGATGGTGTTGAGCTGGTCCGTTCGGATTCTGGGAGACTGAATGTGCCTGGCTGAACATTTGACGATTTAACTCAGAACCTACAGGTGTTGTTCTTTTCAGGAGCATGGGCCCGAACATGGAACTATGTAATGCCTGAAAAGACCTCATAGGACTATAAGACATTTAATACTTTGAAATTCCTTATGGCTCTGGGGTCAACAACAGGATATCTTAGTAATACGACTTGCGGTCGCAATCTGAACGCTCCCCATGCATATATACCTGGGAATTCAAGCCTCATGGTGGACCAGCGCACCAGCTCTTGAAATTGCAACTCTTTCAGCCAGCCTGGGTTGGGCGTTCTGCAGAAAGCTCCTACCGGTGGCTCGACACCCTGTGCATTGGCTCGAGCTGCTCAAAGCCAGGGCAGCGTGGACCATCGGCCGTTTGCCGATCAAATTACTAGCAGGCTTGTCAGGCCTCAGTGACTTTGAACTTAGCTATCATATCCTATCGATCAGAGTGTACATGTGAGACAAAGATTCATGAGTGCCTCCTTGTAAATTCCACACCAAGTCCCTTAAAAGAAAACAGGACGAGCTGGGGGTTCGTCGTGGCCGACACTGCAGAATCAGCCAGCTCCCCACCGAACGAACCTACACCAGCCAAACACAACACTGGCCTGCATGTAGCATCTTGGGTGTCGCATGGTTTTGGCGAAAAATAAAGACGTGACAAAACAATGAACAACACAACCTTTTCATCAGGCTCGCAACCCATTTTGGCCTTTCTAAAGTAGGTCCCATTCCCAACCCCCGAGGTTCTCAGTCAGACCTTCCAGTCAGTTCTCGACTTCGGCCGTCGCCGTGGGTACATTCTTCTTCGGTGGCCATGGGGATGACCACCGAAGATGTGGTCCGGCAAGCCTTTGTGAACGCCGACATCGACTGCTCAGGGACTCTGGCGTCTCGGCTCGAGTCTGGAAAACACCGCGGGTGGCGGGCAGGGCTGGAGACCCAACTGCGGATCCAGGAGTTGGTTTGGTCCGAAATCTTGGGAGGTGAACCGCAACGGTCTTGGGTCGTCTCAGCTAGGGTCACTAAGGGATGGTCAGGGACCGCAAGGATGGTGGCGCTGGCCTTTTGAACATGTTTTGGAGATGCTTTGGATCAACAAAATAGAATAATCAAATATTGTACAAATATATAATATAATATGTATATCCCTAAGAATCAAGGACCCTCAAAGATGAAGGTTTTGAGGGTCCAAACCCCTGCTATGCAGGGTCTAAACCCTATATTACATTATATTATATTTTATGTGTTATACTATATTACTTGATTATTATGTGGAACTTATTTGGATCAACAAATAGTGTCGAATATACGTATAACATGGTATAACAAGAACCATATTAATTCTGAGATTTCTTTTGGGGCCTCTGCCCTCGTTCAAAAAAAGGGTCACCTTCACTCGAGCAACGTCCAAGGATATCCAGGAGTTTGGTCGGCTTCTACAGCTTCTGAACCCCAGCTCCTTGACGGCGCACCCCACCCGCGACTTCTCACCGGACGGATCGGCTGGGGGGGAGCGGGAGGGGGGTTGAGATACCTCACTTGTCATGGACATCCCAAGGAAAACCCTGTGCTTCATCCCATGCCTACTCCACAAAAAGTGGACAACCTGCCGCAACCTGTCCTTTTTGGGGGAGGACACTGTAGACGCCCCACTAAGCAGGAACAGAGTTCCTTTGGTCTGCTGTTCGGTGCTCAGAGATCAGGTTCTGCCTGACCTTCTGGCCCGGACGGCCATGGATTCGGGGTACCAGAAGGTTCATCAAATCACTTTAGGAGCAGGGTAGGCGGCCTATCCTCCGGTTTCTTCGCTTCGGAACCGAGGTGCCCGTTCCTGTGGTTTGATCTCCGGACTCCTGAGGTCCTGAGCCCCTCCCAGGACCGCTATAGGATCCTTCCCGCGATCCGATCGGTCCCGATGAGTTCAGCACCAACGGTGACCTCGGGTGTGCAGCGGGACAGTCACTTTGGTGGGGTGAGTTTGGAAGTAACATTAGGACCCACACACTCCATGTATTTTGGATCCGGTTTGCTTATGTTTGCTCAATGGTCAATGCCCTTCTGAATATGTTTAGGTGTTTTGGGGTCCAGGTTCCTTTGGCAAATCCGATCCACTGTCACCTGGCACCTACGACTGGGCCCGGAACACCTCGGATCCACCGGACCGCTCCGGTGGAACGAGGCTGTTGGAGCCCGGAGCGCTTGGAGCGCTTCTTCTCGCGTGCTGACAAGGCTGGTGGGGACGACGAGGGAAGGACGAGGACGAGGACTTCCGAAGACGAGGTGAGAAGAAGCCGATCGATGTTTTGAGGAGAAGACTTCCTATAGCGATCAATATTAGTAGATCATGCTGGACATGTTTGACTTCATCCATGCGTTTTGGAGTCGGAGGCCATGTTTTTTTGAGTAAGGTCGATTGCATAAGTTCATGTGTTTCATCCCCCAAAACTATTGTTCAACAACTGAAGCCAAGGCAAGCGTCAGAATGACCAGAAAATGCATTGTTTTGTCCTTTATCCAGAGCATTACATCATGACATTTGTCTACTTTTGTTACTTCTCAGAAACGTTTTTCTTTTTTTAAGTACTCTAGGAGGCAGGCCAGTGGCATTAGTTATTTTGAGATTATTGACTACAGAGCAACTTGTCATTGAGTAGAGTAGAACAGGACCTTCATTTGATGTTCAATTCAGAAGTTACCCCTACAATGCACTTTGTTCCACGTCCTTTTGCCCTATGCCTATGACTCATACTGATTTGTTGCAGGCAATCTACAACAACTCCTTGTTTCTTAATTGTTCCAGGAATGAATATATGCTCTGGATATCTCGTGATGCCAGACTCGAGTTCCCAGGCCCAAGGCCTGCCACCAAGTCCCACGGTGATATGCCCCTCATTCTTTGTCTTATACTACCTATACTGCAAAACCAACACCAGACTTCGCCCAAGCTGGGCGACAACGTCGCCCAACGACTCCGCTGCACCACAGTATTGCTTGGAGCCGAAGACTGGCCGCTTCGCCCGACCTGGTCTCTCAGGACGGCTCCGGGCGGGTCGACCTTCAAGAGACCTTGGACTGGCTTCTTTATGCACCTCGGCGGTTCCAGGGCTTCTTTGGGCGGGTGGTGAATCATGTGA